CCAATCCACCAGAGGTACAGGAGCTCAGATGTCTTGCTGGCACTGCCCTTGAGGTACAGGTTCCTGGAATAGCTGTAAGTGGTCACCTATGTTTGTCTCCTCACCTCAGGAGACACCCCCCCCACCCGAGATAGATTTTGGCTTCTGGACGTGACCTGCTGAGAATTAAGTAGCAGAAAGAGGAATCATTCACAGAGGACTGGGGCACCAGGCTACAAGGCAGCAAGCCCACTTGTCCTTCTTCAGTGAGGACCCAAGGAAAGCCACAACCTCTCCATCCCCTGCCCCAAGGGTTTCCATGGTTTCCATGAAAACAGCTTCTCCAGGAGGTCACATCTCATTTCCTTATTGATATAAACCCAGAAATCTGAGTAGAAGGAGGTGGGTGGTTGGGTGATGGGAGAGGAGGGCTGGCATTAGGGTCCTCACCTACCACGGGGACCAGGCAGGTCTACAGGGCACAAGCATCTCAGGGTGGATGTTAGGTTACAGCAGAGTTCTCAGACTCTGAGAACAATGTAGGAGATGAATGCTGTAAACACTGTTGGTCCTTGGGGGCTGGGGCAGGGCCCAAGGATCAAAGGTGTTTAGTGAAGAGAAGAGGGGCATCTGGGAGGCAGCAGAGGGCAAGGGCCAACCCCTCTCTTCCCTCCCCATGTCACACATGCCACACTCACCCAGAGGCCAGAGCTCTCCATTGATGGTGGGTCCCAACTCCATGGGATGAACATTGCCCAGAGGGTGGTCCCTACATGGGCCATTAATGGGTCTAAGTGGTGAGATAAGAGGTCAGGAGGTTAGAAAAGTGACCCCGAATAAGGCAAAGGAGACTGCTTCCCCACAGCATGGTATACAACCCCAGTTCTGTGATGACTGAGTTTCTGCACTTTGGCTCCAAGGTCCCCCTTCCTATCCTAGAGGAGCCTTGAAGTGTCCAGGCTTCACTTTTGTCCATAGCCTCCAGGGCCACAGACATTTCTTCTCTCTCCAGACCTAATGTTTCCTCCAAGCTGACTCCAACCCAGCCCCTACTCGCTCCAGATTTAGGTCTCGCTCAACTACCATCTAGAGTTGGAGTGCAGAGCCGTATCCCTTGAAGGGAGCTGAGCCTGGCTGTGCTTTTTCACTCTGAGCCATGCTTAGCAGCCTATGCCTTTTCACAAGGCCTTTCCACTTCTTTATTGTCTCATTAAATAATGTCAACTTCACACACACACACACACACACACACTGACATGCTTTGAGAGAGGATAGCAAGAACATACAGTACTCTTTAATCGATTTTTGTTGTTATTGCTTTTATACCTACCCTGAGCCACACACACACACACACACACACACACACACTGACATGCTTTGAGAGAGGATAGCAAGAACATACAGTACTCTTTAATCGATTTTTGTTGTTATTGCTTTTATACCTACCCTGAGCCACACACACACACACACACACACACACACACTGACATGCTTTGAGAGAGGATAGCAAGAACATACAGTACTCTTTAATCGATTTTTGTTGTTATTGCTTTTATACCTACCCTGAGCCACACACACACACACACACACACACACACACTGACATGCTTTGAGAGAGGATAGCAAGAACATACAGTACTCTTTAATCGATTTTTGTTGTTATTGCTTTTATACCTACCCTGAGCATTTGTTCCTTACATAAAAAGGGAAATTAACAGGATATCTATACCAATATTCTGTAGCTCCATTGTCTAAAATCTAGTCTCCACCACCCTCAAGACCCCATTCTGGTGATAAAAGGCAGCAGTCCCCCTGCCCCTTACTGCTGCTCCAAGCTCTATCCACCTTGTTCCTCTGCTTGCAGACCAACCACTCACTAGCTGGCTATGCTGAGGCCTTCTCAGCTGACTCCTGGGACCTGTTGGTACCATTCACTACCTGAGATGCCCTCTGCTCAAATCTCCATCCCAAACCCTGCCTTTTCCTCAGTTGGCCTGGAGAAAACATCCAAGACTACGCTGTCAGACATGAACAATGTGCCTGTCTTTCCCGAGGTTCCAGTGAAGAGGCAGCTCTACATGGACCATGCAGGGTATCATGTAGCATTCCTG